AATAATAATGTTTTGATGCACATTGAAAAGCAGCACCCATTTGTTGTTATAAACCTGGGATTTTTTAATATAATAGACTTCATGGAGGTGGTTGTTAACTATGGATTGTACTTAGTCAGATCCAGGTAGCCTGGGGACTTCCTGTAATCCTTATTGTAAATGTTTACTAATTGACCAAGAATAAGATAGTACCTTGTTATTCTTCCTGACTTTCTCCTCTTAATTATATCTCTTTGACATTCCAGTGCTGCTCTGAGCTGTGCTTTTCTTTTCTTCTTCTTCTCAGAGAGGAAGGCTGCATTTTATCCCCCTGCATTGATGGATTGGAAGGTGGCCCAGGAAAAAGTGCCCTGGGGCATTGTGCTGCTGCTGGGAGGTGGATTTGCTCTGGCTAAAGGATGTGAGGTAACTTCTCCTACCTTGGGTTGCTGGCCCTACTTTCACCAAGAGGATGGTCCAAGAGTTGCCACGTTCCTCCACTCTTCTACCCCTCAGCGGAGCCTGTGTGTTTCTGTCTCCTCCTCATGACTGCACATACTTTGAGGAAAAGGTCCCAGAGTAGCCCGTGGAATAGAGAAGGTGCTCAGGAATGTCTGGGGAGTGATTGCAGAAACGTGAATACATGATCCTGCTTGGTCAAGAGAGGCAGAGGACACTGTCAAGTCCCAATTGGGGTTTGGAATAGGTTTCTGCCTTTCTCTACACAGGCAATAGTAATCTCTGCTCGTACATCCCAGGAAAATCTTTCTTTCAAATCCTTTGGGTATTTTTACCATTATCTCTGGCTCTTCTCCTTGTTGAATTCTTTGTTGATATGGTTCCCATTTTAGAATTTTACTCTAGCTAAGCAAGAAGTAAGGAGCCCTGCTTGTTGTTGTTAAGTGCAGTCGAGTCGGTTCTGACCCATAGCGACCCTGAACAGGGTCTGAGGCTGTATATCTTTACGGGAGCAGAAAGACTCATCTTTTTGCCACAGAGCAGCTGGTAGTTTCGAACTGCTGATCTTGCGGTTCGCAGCACGATTGGTAACCACTACACTACCAGAGCTCTTTAAGGAGCCCTGGTAGCATAGTTGATTATGAGTTGGGCTGCTAACCTCAAGGTCAGCAGTTCGAATCTACCAGTCACTCCATGGGAGAAAGATGAAGCTTTCTGCTCCTGTAAAGATTTCTAGCCTCGCAAGCCCTATACAGGTTGGCTGTGAGTCAGAACCGACTTGGTGGTACACAAGCATCGCCACTTCCAAGTGAGTAGTAGCGTAAGAGGAGAAGACAGCTTGTGGGGGGCAAATAGCATACTATGCCCCCACTTCCATCTCTTCTGAGGAAGGAATATGTCAGAGGGAGGGATGAAACAACTAAGTGCTACTGTTATCCATTTATTCATCCAGGAATAGAATGTAATAGATAAACTTAGTGTACCTTGTTACTGGGAAGTGTGGTGGCTCTCTGGACTGCAAACCACAAGGTCACCAGCCGCTCCATGGGAGAAAGATGAGGCTTTCTTCTCCCACTAAAATGTACAGCCTCAGACACTCTATACGGGTAGCTATGAGTTGGAACTGAGTTGAGGTCACGTAACAATAGCAATAATATTATGTCCTCAACATCTAGGACAGAGTCTGTATCTTCCTATATATGTATATAGGATGGACAAATCTATTCATCTGGTCACCTTTCTACTCACTCACCTTCCATTCATGCATTCATAATGCATTCCTATTGTGCTCTAGTGTTAAACCAGACACAGGGATTACAGCGGTATTAAGGTACGACCCTGTTCTGTGGGACTTAGGGAGGAGGGCATTTTAGAAGGCAGAGACATGTTAGCAGAGGAAACAGCATGGTGTGTGTAGCTGAGGAATAATGAAGAGGAGGCTGATGAGGCTAGCAGAAACCACTTCCATGCAGACCTTGGGTTCACGATACGGAGTGCGGGCACTATTATGAAGGCAGTGGGCAGCCATGAAGGATTGACACCAGGGAGTGATTTGGTTACAATTGCATTTGAGAAAAATCATTCTGATGGTGTGAGTGAAGATGTGGGCAGGGGAAGGGTTCAGGGAGAAGCAGTAGGTGTTTTTATAATCTTCCTCTAATTCAGTCTTATAATATTTGACTCTGTGGACCATTCTCTCCTTCTCTTCAAGAAACAACTTTCCACTGGTTTCCTTCTGACTGTTCCTGATCATCTTCATTGACTGGCAATTCTTCTGTTCCTCCTTAAATTAGAGCATCTTCAAGACTCTTTCCTTGGCCTCTTCTCTTGTCACTTCCATTCTCTCCCTGGAAAAATCTCCTCTCAGTCCCGCACCCCAAATCTAAATCCAAAATGTGTGGTCCAGATCACTCTCCTGAGATGCAGAATTATAGGGCTGGAAAGAGAAGACAGACATGAGATGTTTTGGGGGAATTTGGTGATGACTGGGTACAAGGGATGAGGGGCACAGAGATTCCCCAGCATCACTTTCAGCCTTCTGGCTTGGACAGAGATGGTTGGTAAATTCATCTACCAAGCTGGGGAGACCAAAAGATACAGCAGATTCTGAGCTAGAGAGAATGAATACAGGTTGGGGCCTATTGCGATTGACAGGCTCATGGAATATGTGGGTGGAAATTTCTAGAAGGGGTGTTGATGTTTAAATCTGGAAATTGACTGGGCTGGAACAGATTTAGGAAACAGTAGAATGAGGATGGAAGTTGAAGTTGTGGGGATGGATGAGACCCCCGATGGAATTCAAGCAGAGAGAGAATTCGAAGTGGAAAATGGGCTGATCTTCCTGAAACAGATGAGGTTCCCTCCAGCCCTAGAGGAACTGTGAGCCAGTAACCCTACATAACTCCCCTCCTGGTGCTTCCCAGGCCTCGGGGCTGTCCGAATGGATGGGGAAGCAGATGGAACCCTTGCATGCCGTGCCCCCAGCAGCCATCACCTTGATCTTGTCCTTGCTCGTTGCTGTGTTCACTGAGTGCACAAGCAATGTGGCTACCACCACCCTGTTCCTGCCCATCTTTGCCTCCATGGTAAGTAACTCTGCTGGGGATTTGGGGAGGACACTTAGGCACCATCTCCTAGGAAGTTGTCAGACTGTGAACGTGTCCTGGGTCCCTACTAGGCAGTGAAACCAGGGACCAGTGCTTGACTAGACTTTGGAGACCTGGGTCTGACCCTGACTTTGGTCCTGCCCTCAATGCTTGGCCAGGTTTTTTGTATCCCCACCCCATGTGCTGAGCAAAGCATAGGTCAGGTACTCAGACTTTGTTTCATAAATGTAAGTGGATTCTTTTTCAAGCTCAGAGACAAGACTTGTGCCAAGGAGGACTGGGTCAATGACCTGGGAGAGGACAGTGGGTCTCTGAGGATGTAAGCACAGGTGTGTGTGAGGACTGCAGAGCAGGGGGAACACTCCTGGCTGGGCACACAAAGAAGGAGTTTTAGGGGCAGAAGGGCTTATAAATGAGTGTGACCACAGAAGGCATTCTGGGAAAATGGAACAGGCCAACTAAAGGAAATTGAGTTGCATGACTGGGAATTCCCAGAAGCCTTGTTTGGTAAGTGCAGGGTTCCAGTTAGGGGATACGCAGGAGATGAGGCCAGGTCATAACGGGGTGGTAGTGGAGGGGGATTGCTGGAAGCCAGGCTAAAGGGTTCTATTCTGCAGGCAAGCATGTTTGGGGACTTGAAAAGAAAGCAGAGCTTATGGGAGAATTGGTTGTGATCTTTCTTACATTTCCTTTTGTTGGTCATCACCTAGCAGTACTGACCTCCAGGTGGTATAGAAAGCACGCTGGGTTAGAGTCAGAAAACCTGTCTCCTTGAACATGCCATTTAACGTGAAGAAGTCAGGCTGAGGGGTGGTTTAGAGAATCTTCCCCGACTCTCAGAGGAATTCCTCAGCATTTTGCTGAGACTCAGATGAGATGACAGCTATGGAAATCCTTTGTAGACTTTAAAAACAAAAAAAGTCATGGGAGAGGTCACTGCTGTTTTTCTGGAGGTTGGAGACAGACTTACAAGGGGCCTGAACACAGGATTTAACTTGGTAAATTTCCATTTAGCTGCTGGGCGTCCACATTATAAACAGCAAACCAAGTGGAAGGGTTCCAAGGGAAGATGAAAGTGTTGTAAATAACAAGGTGGCTGTTCCCCTCTCCTGAGCGGCTGCCCATCAGAGGCAGAAGGGCTTCTTTTGCTGCTGAGCATGCAGTGGTAATACACTCTCATCCCTTGCAAAGGCCCTACTTTGTCATCTCCAGCCCCAGCAGTGGGCACTGAGGGCTCCAAGTCAGACTTTACCCCAAGGGAGAGAGTCCCTGGTGGCCCAAATGGTTCACCACTCATTTGCTAGCTGAAAGGTCCTTGGTTTGAACCCATCTATAGAAACGTGTCAGAAGACAGGCCTAGAGAATTGCTTCTGAAAGGTCCTGGCTTTGAAAACCCTATGGCGCAGTTCTACCTTGCACAAGTGGGATCACCAGGAGTCAGAATGAACTCATAGGCAATGGGTTTGGTTTATCCAAAAGGAATGTCCAGGCCCTTTAAAAACAAACTATTTTAGAACAAGAGACCACAGGTAAGAATCCTCCCAGCTCCTACCAAGGCCCCTTACACTTCTTCCTCAGCACCCACCTGTCTCAGAGGAACGGGGGCACATCCCCCAAGTGCATCACTCATGGCCAAGATAAGATGGCGGGCGGGTCAGGAGGTAGACTGGGCACCTGCCTGGGACATCTAGTTACATCATGTGTAACTTAGTACAAGGCTTCCAGAGGGCGGCTTAACAATAGGAATCATAGCTGTAAACCTGCTCATATCCTTCGACTCAGCAATTTCATATCTGCGAACATATTTTAAGGAGCTCATCAGAGATAGATTTATTATGATAATGTGCATCACAGATTCTTTATAATGAAGATTCTAATAGGGTTATTAGTGGAATAAATGATCACATATTCATACAAGGTAATACTGTCAAACCATTAAGAAATTACCACTTCAAAAGAAATTTTAATACAATGAGAACATGCTCATGGCATAATTTTTTTAAGTTGAAAATGTAACACATATACATGGTTAAAAATATCCAATAATACAGAAAAGCATACAGACTCTAATCGCCTAGCCTCTTAACTAAAGATAACCTCTGTTATTCATCTCTTAAGCATTTCTCTAGATATATTGCACACATACATGTTCTTTTAAAACAAATGGCATCTTCCCCTTATCCTGTTCTGTACCTTACTTTAAAAAAAAAAAAAAATATATATATATATATATTGTTGTTGTCAGGTGCCATCGAGTCGGAACCGACTCATAGCGACCCATGCACAGCAGAACGAAACAATGTCCGATCCTCAAGCTGACATCTCTGCTCTTCAATACTTTAAAAAGTTCCTGTATATATATAAAACTAGAGAGCTTAGCGATCTTTTCTTATGAATGCGTGGCATCTGCCTAATTCTTCTTCACAGCTGCATAATATTTCATTGCTTGCACATGCCACAGTTAATTTAGTAATCCTGTTGCTGGTGCTTACTGAGTGTGTTTCCTATGGCATGCTGTCACAATGTTGCAGTGAAGAGCTTCACATATATGTCTGTTCTCCTATACACGTAAATCTGCATGGTGAACTGTTTATGTTGAGAGATATTGATCATTGATAGATACTATGACTATTGTGATATTATTTATTCATCCAACAGCTATTTAATGAGTGCCTCCTCTGTGCTAAAGGATTCCTGGTGGTGTAGTGGCTTATGCATTGGGCTGCTAATTGCAAAAGGTCTGCCAGCTACCCTGCTGGAGAAAGAGGAGGCGCTTCTGCTCCCATAAGGATGCACAGCCCTGGAAACCCTATAAAGGGTCGCTACGAGGTGGGATCAACTCGATGGGCACACAACAGCAGCAGTACTCTGTACTAAGCACTGTTGTTGGTGGTGTTAAGTACCGTTGTGTCGGTTCCTACTCATACCGACCCCTGCATAGGACTTCCAGGCTTCAAATCTTTGTGGGAGCAAAACACCTGATCTTTCCCTGTGGTGCAGCTGGTGGGTTTGAACCAAGGACCTTGTGGTATGTAGTCCAGTGCTTATGATATGAAGCCACCGTGCACCCTGTTAGACGTGGCACTGTTACATGTTAACATGAAGATATTAAAATGAAGAGCAAAATGGTGGATGCAAAATTTCATATGTTAACTCATCCCAGATGTGTAGAAAGACACAGGCGTACATACATGCAGATGAAAGGCTTGTTCTCTGTCCTTTAGGCACTTTGAGTCTGTGGCAGGACAGACAGCTATGTGCTGAGCATGCATGTGGGCTGTGGGACCACTGGGAGATTCCCTGTAGTTTAAGTGTCCAGTAGAGTCTCTGGTGCATGTTTTTATTAGCTGCCGTAGACTCAGCCCCTGACACCACATGACCTCATGTACGATGGAACCGGACACTGTGATCCATTAGAAATTAGTCTGGAAGCTCCTATTCATCCTCATAACTTCCACTGATAGATGGGAGGTGGCTGTTCATGTGTTGCATTGGCTGGGTGTCTGGTATGGAAGGCAAGATTTCTACCACTGAATCACACCTGCCCCCTCTGGCACACAACAGGTGTTTCAGAAACAGATGTTGAATCACTGAGGAGGTGGCCTCTGGGTTCAGGGATGAATGTTGGATAGAGTTATCTGCCAGAGATGTGGTGCAGGGTAGAGGAACCAGCAAGATCAAGTCCTAAAGGTGGGAGGGTGCCTGGTGCATCCGGAAATACTTTTCAGAACGACGCTCCTTGTTTTCTGTGTCTGTGACATGGCAGTGCTTTTTTTCCCCAGTCACGCTCCATTGGCCTCAATCCACTGTACGTCATGCTTCCCTGTACCCTGAGTGCGTCCTTTGCCTTCATGTTGCCTGTGGCCACCCCGCCTAACGCCATCGTATTTGCCTACGGACACCTCAAGGTTTCTGACATGGTAACACACACAGCTGCTCTTTTTTACTTCTATCAGATGATAATGTTGTTGTTATAAAGAATACTCAGTTGATTTGTGATGTGTGAGTTTCAAACTGATACTGGAATGGCGCTGAGTGCCGGAACCTACACATTCGTTGCATTTATGATGCAGATTTTTTATCTTTCTCCCTTAGCACAGATTGCTCTGTCTCCCAAGACTGAGCAGTGCTTTATAGAATCTCCCATGCATCTACCGGGGGTGGGGATGGGGGGTGAGGGGGACCTCCAGTGGGTACTTGGAAGGGTTGGGAGTGGGAGGACCACATAGCCAAGGATGGACTTCACAAAGTAGCAAGGACCAGAGAGGAGAGTCAGGAGGCGCAAAGCTGAGATTGGGAGAAAATGCTAATTTTGGAGGAGTGTGAAGAGGTTGAAGCAAAGAGAGGGTGAGAGGGAGACCCATTGCTTGGGAAAGGATGATGTTTTAGAACCAGATGCAGCCATAGGAAGAACTCCTCAGGCCTGGTGTTGTTTTTCACCTCTGATGGGAGAAGGAGAGGGCAGCTTTGCAGCTCCAGGTGAAGGTCTAGGCACATGTGCAAACCTGGGAGACCAGGACTCCTCTGGGTATCTTTGGGACTCCAAGGAGAATTTCCATAAAGAGGGCAATGGCAGGTTCTAGAAACTTGATTCCAATGTCCAGTAACAAATCTCTAGCATGTTTTTAAAGCAATAGTTAATAAGCATTAATAAAGATCACAGAGAAGGTATCCAAAAAAGAGCCATTGGTGCTTCACATGGAACCCAATGGGTCTTTGTGGGGAGGTTAAACTGTGGGTGAGCCCTGGACTCAGTCAGACTTCCAGTAAGAACACCAACACACTGAAGCTGCCACCAAACCTCACCTCACCTCACCTTACCTCACCTCACCTCACCTCACCTCACCTCACCTCACCTCACCTCACCTCATCTCACCTCACCTCACATCATCATACCTCCCCAAGGCCCAATTTTCCAGATGCTAAAATGGACATAGGGAAGCCATGTGTCCTGCCCATTTCCTGGGGTAGCTCTGAGGACTCTAGCACTTGGTGGCACAAACTTGCTTTGTGGGAGCAGGGGTAGAACACACAGAGAATGGGGAACAGGGAAGGTAAAGTCCAGAAAGGCAGTCCTTTGTCTCCTGCCCCAAGAAGCCTTATTCCAGTGTCTTGTTTGCTCTTGTTGGGCAGCCCAGACTGACCAGAGGGTGCTGACTCTGACTATGTTTCTGTCCAGATGAAAACAGGACTGATGATGAACATCATCGGAGTCTTCTGCGTGTTTCTGGCCGTCAACACCTGGGGGCGGGTCATATTTGACTTGGATAATTTCCCCGACTGGGCTAATGTGACACACATTGAGACTTAGAAAGAGCCACAAGACCCACGGACCCAGCCCCCACCCTTCTGAAGACTCTGGAACCTTCTGGCATGTCTTGCAGCAGAGCTTTGCTGTTCATAGCCTGATGGGACACAATGATGCCCACACCCCACTGAGACCCAGGGCCACCTCATTCTCAGAGGTGGGATGGGTGGCTTGGAAGGCGAAGAGAACTCCTGAAGAAGATGCTGGTTCCCATCTTTCCTAGGAGCTCTGACGTCATCTCTCAGCACAGGCAGGCTGTGGAGAGCTCAACTTCCAGCAGCCACCACTCTGGCCCAATCCAAGACTCTGCTTTCCACTTGCTTAGTTCCAGGGTAGTCTAAATGGGAATCAGATCCTCAGAGTAGGAGGTGAGCAAACAAACTCCCAGCACCCATACCTCTTCCAGCTCACCTTGGGCTGCCTTGGATCATCTATCATCTGTCATTCCAAAGGGGACAATCCAGCCCAGGGACGGATACTGGGTTTGAGGCAACTTCCCACTGCTGAAGTGAGAGTGGGAATCAGAGCATCTCTTGAGACTCCAGGAATGCTTTATGGTACCAGCACCAAAGGATGAAGAGTTTGAGTTGAGAGCCTTCCTGCCTACAGGACACCATTGGCTACTTTTGCTCCTCTTTATTTACCTTATTCCATTGTAATTGACAAGTTGGACTCCACTCCCAGCTGTCAAGTGAGGTCCTTCAATCCCTAGGTCCCTTGGGTTGGTTATCTTGGCCAACATTTGCTAAATTCCACTGGCTGGGGCCCTCCCGCACTCCTTTTTCTTTCAGGTAGGTCTGTTTGGCTTTCTTGGAACATCCTGTTCCTGACACCCCCACAAAGATGGGCTTACACTCCACATTTGGGCAGTGCTGGCACTTTGGGGGTCATAGTGAGGTATCCAGATCCTCTTTCATCTGCAGGTCTAGCATGGACACAGCTATTCAATGCCAGCAGCAGGTCACTTTAGAGCTGTCATCTTACCAGAGTGTGATCTCCCCTGAGGAAAGCTTTGCCTTGCTGAGTGGCCTTTGCAACCAGGCCTGGAGGCTCTCTGGTGAGTGGCAGTGCTTGCTGGTCCCCCCAAGCAGACATCCCTTGTCCATGAAGGAATTTACCTAAGATTACCGGAGCAAAGACTACAGAGTGGCTGTGGGATGATGAGCCTCAGAAACCCCCATGAGAGACATAAGAGATAGTCACCCTCCAGCCCTCAGCCCTGTTGACTTTCCTTCTTGTGCTGTTTCCAGAAGAGAGGCAGAGTTAGACTCAGAAATACTCAGAGGTCAATTGATAGCACTTTTCAGGGCAGGAGAAAGTGTAGAGACCTGAGGAAACCCCATCACGGACCAAGTGTGTATCCGGTTTCCTAGGGTGGATGGTTCCTGACCATACTATTAAATGTCTTTCAGGGAAACCGTGACTCATCTCTGGTTTGGGGGCCATTGTGTATATGTGTGTGTGTGTAGGGAGATACAGGGGTGAACAACTACTTACCGCCTGACTTCTGTGTGCCAGGCCTTCCTATGGGGCACGTACTAGTTATTTAACTCAATCTTTGCAGCAACTCTATAAGATAGGTAAGGTGTTGTTTATCCTTGTTTGTCTTGTGAGGAAACTGAGGCCCAGAGAGGTCAAGTGATGTGTCCAAAGCCACACATCAAGCTAGTGGAAGTTAGGGCTCCAACCCAGATTTCCAACTCTGTGTCTACTCCATTTCCTTTCTCCAGCCATTAAAGACTTTGTTTTTGTAGGACTTATGGCCAAGAGCAAGTCTACTCCAAGATAGCCAAATAAGAGTCCCTTTCTGTTCACTCCTCCAAAACGGGTTCAGAACAGTGTTGGATGAGACCCGGTTAGTCCTGACCCTGAGAAGTGAGTTTGATTGAGAAGCGAGTATGAAAATGGCTACCTCCTCCCCTAATCAAGGTAGAACTGATGCCTGGCTTCCACCTTACCACCTCCTTATCACTGCTCTCCACAAGGCTGCTGTTGACACCCTGAGAGCTCCCAAGGACTCTGAGTGTTCACTGGGTCCAGTACTGGCACTGTAGCTGAGCCAACGGAGGCCAATAGAGATGTGATTGATAAATAAAGGATTTATCAGTTATGGTCAATTTGGTGTTCACATGGCGCTCGTGGGCATGGCCAATGAGTAAATTAATGAGAATGCTACATTTGTGTGGCATTAGTTTTTACTTTGAGCTGACTAGCTACATTTCTGCCCTTTGAAACACCGATTAGTGTGTTCTCAACAATGACTGCAAAGTATATTCACTTGGGAGCGGTGAAAAGCTACTGATTCCTGGGCTTCACCCCCAGAAATTCTGGTTTAGTTGGTCTGGAGAGAAACCTGGGTACCAGAACTTTTAAGAGCTTCCCAGCTGATTCTAATGTGCAACCAAGACTGAGAACTACTAACTTAATTCAGAGCTATGGGGTCTGAGGCCAGTATAGGTTTACATGGTACCATAGAGAATGGTAGGAATATGGTTTATCCGACCAATGCAAGGTAGACATTGAAGAATGAGTAGAACTATGCAGGTGTGAGGGAAGAAGATGTGGTGGAGTGGGTGGAGGACCCTATCAGATGCTATCTTGTTGAGAACCAACAAGTAAACTGAGTTGAGGGCTTCGGGAAAGCAGAACTCAAGGCTGAGGTTGACTAAAGACTGTTTCTAAAGAACTTTTTTAGTTGACTAGATCCTTTAGGGCCTATACCCACCAGTTAAGGAGCTCTGGTAGTATAGTGGTTTTATGAGTCGAGCTGCTAATCTCAAAGTCAGCAGTTCAAAACTACCAGCCATTCTACTGGAGAAAGGTGAGACTTTCTGCTCCTCTAAAGCCTCGGAAACCCTACACAGGGTCGCAATGAGTCAAAAATGACTCCATGGCACATAAACAATACCCACCAGTAGGAGTCCTTGTGTGGTGCTGTGGGTAAATATACTGGACTGCAAGGTTGGTTTGAGCCACAAGGTTGGCGCTTCCAGTTCACAGCTGCTCCTTGAAAACCCTATACAGGGTTACTATGAGTTGGAACTGACTCAATGGCACTTAACAACAACAACAACAATACCCACCTTAGAAACCCTATGCTATGAGTTACTGTGAGTCAGAAGTTGACTTAACAGTACTTAACAATTCCAACTAGGAATGTTTTGGGTTGTAGTTAACAAGGCTTAAACCCTAAGGTCTTTCACTGTTTACCTAACAAGAAGACTGGAAGTAGACAGTTGCTGTCATTGGATCTAGCAGCTCATTCAAGCCACCAGCCTAAGGATACCATGTTTTTACTGTCAGGGGACATACACATCTACACTCAAGACAGGAAGGAAGAGGGGTATGCAGTAGTCAGGTGGTACCAATGGCATCGTTCCCTTTTATCAGGAAAACAAGAGCTTTTCCAGGAGTCCCCCAAAAGATTCCCATGTAGTGGACAGAACAGGGTCCCATGTGTACTCTTAGACCAATCATTGACAAAGGGGAATTGGAATGCCTGAATTAGTCCAAACCAATTTGACTCATTCCTGAGGGCTGCAAGATTTGCCTGCCTCTGCTGAAATCATGAGCTTTCTTCTCACTACAGCATGTGGATCTGGCAGGAAAAGAGGAAACTGACAAGTAGTGATGACCATTGTCTGGTATTATGACTCTTTTTCAAAAGCTAACCCACTTCCAGATCCTTGAGGGGCTCTCTTTCCTTGGAATTCAGTAGAAGCATGTTCCTATATGAGAAGGTCCATGGTTGTCTGGTCAAGAGAGCTTCAGCTTTGCCTCCAACTTCCAAAGGCCAGGCCGCCTCCAGGAGAACCACTGGCTGAAACTGAGACTGAGAGTCCAGAGTTGGAGTCAAGATGTGAGCTTGGTCTTGACATCTAACACCGAACAAGTCATTCTATTCTCTGGGCCACAGTCTCCATCACTGAAGGAGTAGGGCTAGAGGGCCTCTAATGGCCTTTCCCCAAAGCCACAGATCCCTTTAACTCAACTGACTCTGGATCTCCTTGAACCTGATGCAGTCTCTCCCATCCCAACACTGTCTCCATTTAGAGCCTACTGCAGAGACCCACTCCCTTAGCCGGAACGCGGTGGCTCTTTTAGGATAAGCACTGGACTGGGAGCCACAAGGTCAGCAGTTTGAGCCCACCAGCCACCCTGCAGGAGAAAGATGAGGCTTTCTGCTCCCGTAGATTTACAGCCTTGGAAACCTTATGCAGGGTCACTATGAATTGGAACCGACTCCATGGCACACCACCATCATCACCATCACCATACAGGGTCACTGTATATTGAAACCAACTCTATGGCACTTAACAACTCCCTTAGCCATTTGCTGCAAACCAGTACACACCTTCCCTCCACCCATATTTTTCCTCATTTGTTTTTGAAGATCCTGATCCCTGTGTCCTCTCTTCTTAATATCTGGATCAGACACTTATTTAGGCCCAAGGTTAGCTGGATCTCTAACCACAAGATTGGTGATTCAAACCAACCAGCTGCTCCAAGGAAGAAAGATGAGGCTGTCTGGTCCTGTAAAGATTTATCACCTCAGAAACCCTGAGGCAGATCAACTCTGCACTACAGAATCAACTCAGTAGCAATGGACAGGTTTAAGGTTAGTTGAACACAATTCTGACAAGAATTGCTCTCTTGGCTTTGTGGCCAATAAAGATGACTCCATAAGGATTCTACGTATTCCAAAGGCCAGGGATAGATCTCCTTATCTGCTGATCCCTGAATCGTAAGCTCCTAAAGGAGCTCTGGTAATGTAGTGGTTATGAATCAGGCTGCAAATCTCAAGGTCAGCAGTTCAAAACTACCAGCTGCTCTGCGGGAGAAAGATGAGGGTTTCTGCTTCCATAAAGATTTACAGCCCCGGAAACCCTGTTCAGGGTCGCTATGGGTCAGAATCGACTTGACGGCACTTAACAACAACAACAACAATGGCAGTTCACAAGTCCACTTCCCTGTTCAACCCAAGGTGAGAGCTCCCATAGAACCTGGGCCTCCTCCCCTGAGCAGGGCATCTCCCTAGGTCAGGTGAAGTTTTCTCTAGTCCACATAATTTCTCACCCACTAGCAAAAATAACTCCTGGTGTGGTGTGGTAGAAT